CTGACTGGGGAGTTACTGGAGGAATGTGGGTAAGCACTTTGTTTTTGTTTTTGTTTTTGTTTTCAATATATGAAGTTTATTGTCAAATTAGTTTCCATACAACACCCAGTGCTCATCCCAAAATGGCTAAGCGCTTTGTACCCTCTTGTACCACAGGTGCCACCAGCCCTCCTCTGCTTCCTCAGTGCAGGCTCACGTAGATCACAGGGGAAGCTTCCCAAGCCAGCCTCCTGGCCTCTCCCCCTTGGGCCGGCTGCTAGAGCTGCCCTGACCCAAGGGAGGTAGGTAGGCGAGCAAGGTAAAAAGTCACAGGTGTGGCTCGGCGTCATACTGCTTCAGTTTGAATCTCAGCTACTGCTCTCCACCTGTGGAACTTTTACTTAATTTCCTGTGCCTCAGTTTCCTCATTTACAAGATGGGGATGACAGCGGCGCCCTCCTCAGAGTTGTTTTAGGATTCAGTGGGATAAAGCATGCAAATGACTTTGAGTCTGGCACAGAGTAGGAGCTACAAACATCTCAGCTTTCGTTATTAGCCACCTAAGGCAGGGGTTTTCAACAGCAGCATTCTTGAGCATCCGGGGTCGGGTCATTCTTCGCTGTGGGCGGCTGTTGGGTACGGGGTAGGATGTCGAGCAGCAAGTGTCCCTGACCTCTACCGCCTGGATGCCAGTAGCAGCGTCCCTCCCCCGTTCTCATGACAACCACAGATGTCCCCAGACATCGCCAGATATGCCCTGGTCGGCAAAATCACCCCTCCCTGAGAACCACGGTTCTAGGTCCTTGCTTGCTTAAAGCTTCCGGGCTCCCCGTTATTCAGAAAGTGTAGCGGTGCTTCCTGGGCCTGCTGGTACCAAAAGTGGGGCATCTTGTACGAAACTGGTGCCCCTTCTTTGTGTTCAGGCCGTTTACCGATTCAATCCACTGCTGGCTGGACTTCTGAGGTGCCCAAGGGACCACTTGAGAGCGTCCTCTGCCGAATCTCTCTCCCTGTTCTGCAAGCTTCATGGTGACACCACTCAAGATGCACTTTGGTGTTTGCTTTTAAATAACAACTGTCTGTCCCTGTTATGATTCTCCCAGACTCCGGAGCAATAAGCAGCCCCAGTGACAGCTGTGCCAGATAGGAACCACACGCGTGCCTCTCCAAGCGTCTCCCCCAAGCACTTCAGAGCAGCTAAGTGAATAAAACTGATTTCAGCTATTACCTGCACAGCCGCTTGTGTCTCTACAACCTGCCCCGGAGACCAGAGTCAGGCCCTGGTGACCGCGATGAAAGAAGGATGGCAGTCACTAGCTTCCTAGCTGTCCTTGTCAGGCAGCCCACACTGCCGAGCCTCGGGAAATCTGGGTCCCGGTAAACAGGGTGACTGAGAGCTACACTCTGTCCTGAGGAGAGGGCGTGGGGCATTCAACCCAACGTCATGAGCAGCTCTGCACTTTTTGGAGAGAGGCTCAGGTGGCAGGCTGAGAGGCCCCATGCTTTTGCATATTCGTGGAAGGCTTTCAGGAGGTGGTGTTTTTATTTCTATTTTCAAAGGAGGGAGAGTTGGGTTAGGTGAATGGAGGAAGCACAGACAATGCTCATTTTAGTGTGATTAGAGCCATTATTTCCTGAAATGTTAGTTTCCCCACCTTGGCTCTTGGATCATCCAGGACAGGGACCATAGCTTTCTCATCTCTATTATCCTCAGATCTCAACTTAGAGATTGTTGTTGGACAGACAGATGAATGGATGGATGGTGGATGGATGGAGGAATGAGATGTCTACCAGCATCTATTTAAATTCGTAAATCTGACCAGTCATCATATTCTCCCTCACCTCCAATAAACTGGAAGCCACAGCAGGTCATTGGCGTTCCTTAGTGGTGAACTGGAAATCCAGACCACCCACTGGAGGGTCTCTCACTCAATATGGGTTCTGAATAGGACCCTCTTGCCCCTGTGTTCTGGTCACATGTCCACGCTGGAGCCAGGCCTTCTACATTTGGCCTCTGCTCAGAACTTTGGTTGCCTCTATTATGGGAAGAATCAGTCATCTCAGTAGTTAAATGCCTATTTCCATGGATTCCCAAATCTGATAACTTGTAAGATGATTTGAGAGAGTGCATCCTTCCTGTAATGAGTGTCTTCTCTTTGTCTCTCCAGATCCACTCTCCATCCTTTCCTTCTACTCTAGGACTCTGACTTTATGGAATGTTTCAGTGGGCTCCCATGTTCTTTGGCTTCCAGCAGGGTTCTGCCAATGGGCTGATCCAGCAGAAGAACCAAGTGAGGAGGGGGGAGAGTAAAGTTGAGTTATTTATTCACCACCACTCATCAAACCCCTCCCTCCCTGAAGCCTTCTTCCAAGTCAACCTTCTCTAGATGACTTTTACAGATTCTGGTAACTTCTGTCTTCTCTCATCCCTTGGGGTCTAGGAGTGGTAATAGCTCCATGTTATTATTCTCAGGGAACTATACTATCCCTATGGTTGCTTACATCCTACCCACATCATTGAGACTTGTGCCTTTATTATACCCTCTTTGGATTCCCCCACCTTGAGTGTGCCATCTGTTTCCAGTTAGGGCCTTGACTGATACACTGGCCTGAGGATCTTCTTATGTCTGAAGGGTGATCCTACCTGCCTCTCCATGCCCTCCTTGGACTTCCAAAGGTCAGAAAGAACATGCCCCCAAGGACCACTCCTTATCTACCTTCCCTGCACTGCCCTTCTCACCCCACAATCCCTTTTATGTCCCACACTCATGTTTAAAAGTCCCTCTTCTAATGATGTCGGGTGCCTGGGTGGCTCAGTCAGTTAAGTGTCCGACTTCAGCTCAGGTCATGATCTCATGGTTCATAGGTTCGAGCCCTGCTACTTCAGATTCTGTGTCTCCCCCTCTCTCTGCCCTTCCCCCGCCTGTGCTCTTAAAAATAAACATTAAAATATATACATAATATACATATATAATACATTAATATATATAATATATATATATAAGTCCCTCTTCTACTAAAACAAGAAATGCTTTATATTCTCATTTGGAATTAATCAAAAATATTTACCAGTAAGAATGTTTTAATATATGAAGATAACAAGAGGGCTCACCCTGAACTCTGACCTAAAGCAAAGAAATGTAGTATCTCAATTTGCCCCTGGGGCCTAATCTTAAGTGGGGGTGTTCATTTCTTTAGTAATATGAAGAGAAAAACTCACAGAACCTTATGACTTCTCCCTCAGAGCCCTTTTCTTTGGAACCATGACTGAAGGTTGAGGGAAGAGACTGGAAACTTGGAAGGCCAAGGGTCTTGTGGCTTTCTTCTAGACCAGAGCCAGTAAACTACAGCCCATGGCACAGCCCTTATTTTTGTAATTGAAGCATTCTCCTAACAGCCATTCATTCACGTATTGTCTGTGGCTGTGTTCATGCTACAGTGGCAGAGTTGAGTTTTCAGACTGTATGGCCTTCTGTGCAGAAAAGAGTTAACACAGTGGGGCTGACTGCTGTCCTTTGAAGGGCCTGCTTGGAACTTGGATTTCAGGAGGTTCCCACCATCCCCAGATCTATAAGAGTGGTTCACTATGCCTAACCAGACTGTACAAGCAATGTACAGTTTGTGCTAACACATGCTTTCCTTCTGGGAATCTGGAATTTTGGTATGTGCCAGGCAGAGGCTGTGTACGTGACCAGCTCTGATAAAAAAGCCCAGCTGAGTCTCTAAGAACTTTCCAGGTAGAAAACATCTCACACGTGTTGTCTCAGCTCCTTGCTGGGGGAATTAAGTGTATCCTTGTGACCACTAGGAGAGTACCTTTGGAAACTTCCACCTGGTTTCCCCCAGGCTTTGCCCCAGGTGCCTTTTCCCTTTGCCAATATGATTTGTATCCTTTTGCTAAAATAATTCACAGCTGTGAGTACAAATATGTGCTGAGTCTTGTAAGCCCTATCAAATCTTCAAACCTGGGAGTGGTCTTCAGGACCTCCCAACACACTGCAAAGCCAAAATTACTTGCCACCTGGCCCTTTAAGAAAAAGTTTGCCAATCCTTGGTCTACACAGTCTTAGTCTAGATGGAAATTATGTTTTATAGGACTCTGAACTCCCTAAGGCATGGCACAGGTCTTTTCTCTTTATCTACTGGCCAACCACAGTATCTTGCACAAGATATTTATGGAGAGAGGAAGTCAGCAAGCCTGCAAATAATGGATTCAAGCCATGCTTTTTAAACTGTGGGTGGTGGAATCTATTTGAAAGGTTATGACCAATGCTTTCCACTGAAAGAATAGAATAGAAAATATCAGATTGCATTGCATATGGTAAGAATAAGTTTTATTTCCTGAAAATTTTGTTTCAGTTACACATGTGGACCAGATACTATCCTGGATCGTGATGTTAAAGGGTTTCCTCTTCTTGCCTGTTGCAGTAGAAAATAACTTGAAGACCGCTGGACTGTGCTCTCTTCACTAGCTGCCAGGGAGAATCCCCAATGGCCGCCCCCCATCTCTCTGGCCACTGCATTTTAACCACATTCTTCCCCCACCCCCAGAACGTGTACTACACGAGCAGTCAGCAGATCCACGTGGGCATCCTGAGCCCCACGGTCGACGATGATGACAACCGGTGCCTGGTGGATGTCAACAGTCGGCCACGGCTCATCGAGTGCAGTTATGCCAAAGCCAAGAGAATGAAGCTTCACTGGCAGTTCTCTCAGGTAACAGCCCCAGAGCCCCCATAAAGGGCAGCAGGAAAGCAGAGCGGGGAGAAGGTCTAAGGGGCCAGGGAGCATGTGGGAGGAGACAAGGAGGAAAGGGACATGGTGGCAACAGGGAGGCTGGGACTCCCGGGATTTACTGGGCACTGACTATGTGCCAGACATTTTATGTACATTAGCTCATTGGCTCCTGATATTGGCGCTAAAAGGGGAATTGTTGTGGTTGTTATTGTTGTTTTATATCATTTTGTTTAATTTGTAGATACATGGAGATAGGCTCAGAGAGGGAAGTCATGTGCCCAAAGTCACACAGTAAGGATCAGGGCTGGAAGTTAGATTTAGGCCTCTCTGTCTTTAAACTCTCACATTTCCTCTCCACACGCCCTATCTCCTGGGATGAAGCCCAGTGTCCCAGGTATAGACAGTGCCGAGGCACCTCTGGTCTGTGCCCTGCTCTGCCTTCCTCCCAGAATGGGCTCACTCTAGGGGAGGAGGCTTCCTCAAAGGGCAGTGTGTACAATGGTGAACAGGAGGCATTCCCATATTAAGCCTCCATCAGTTCTGAGGCCCATATTTGACTTCCGGCTCTCCATTAGCCCAGTTACAAAATGATGTCCAAGGATCAAGATGCCCAGTTGGGATGGCCCACCATGATTCAGCTTTGAAGAGGACCTGGGCCTCAGCCCAGAGGCTCCCAGCCCCCAGGATTCCACTAAGTTAGGGCCAGTTTTCCCCCACAGGTAGGGACACCCACCTCCCAGGCAGTGCAGCAGAAGTGTTCAGAACAGGAAGTGAGGGGGCGCACAGGCTTCTAAGGCATCGGAGGACTGTATATGGTAGAAGCTTCCAGGGAAGTCAGAAAGGGAATAGGTGTATTCGTGGGACCGAGTAGAAGAGACCCTGACTCAGCCTCCCAGCAAGCTGCTGCCACCCTGGGGAGGAGGAAGCTGGTGGGCACTGGAAGGGACTGGCAGTTACTCTCCCCGTGGTGGGGGGGGGGGGGGGGGGGGGGGGGGGGGGGGGGGGGGCGAGGGGGGGCAGGACAGGTCCCGGCTGCATCATATTCTATGGGTAGGGGAACCTTTGATCCGTGATCTGGGCGTGTGCATCCAGAGGACTGAGTTGGGTCCTGAATGAGTGAGGAAGGTCAATACTGAGTTCGAAACAAGGCCATAGATTTAAGGGCTACTCAGAAAGCAGGAGCCAGAGTCCAGACAAGGGCTTTGTGACCCCCCAGGAAAGCAGATGGCTGGGGAGCAGCACAGGGAGCCAAATGGGAGCACTTCCAAGGGCAGGTGGGAGATGTGTGGGGCAGCTCCGAGTCCCGGCTAGGCCTGCATAATGTATGGGGCTCCATGAGAGGGAATATGGTGCACCAGGACTGGTGGCTCCTGCCGTGCTCCTCCCTGTGTGGTGAACTGTAATAGTCTGTCCCGGTAAGAATGGCAGCCAGCCTTCATACAGTGCTTACTCTGTGCCAGAACTTCTAAGCACGGGGCGTGTATTCGCTTATTTATTCCTCCAAACAGCTGCATGTAGGTACCATGAAGAAAATGAGACACAAAGACGGTAAATAACATGCCCAACGTGTTCATGTTGGGTACTATCCGCGAACTATTTCAGGTTCTCCTTTTTACTTAGTAGTGGCCACCGGGAAGAAGGTCAGGGTCAGGGCTGAGGTTTGAGAATATGGGGCACATCTTCCTCCCGCCTCCCTCTCTCTCACTGAAGCACTTTTTCTGACCCCACACTCTGCCCAGCGGTAGCCTTTGTCACTGTCCCCTGCCAGGTGTCTACTCTGAGTGACACGGGATGGGGCTGTATTTCTCCTCAGGCAGAGAGAGGGCTGGAGGCATGTGGTGAGGGAGGAAGGCTGGATGTGTGCTTGCTGGCTGGTGTTTCCCAGCTCAGGCTAGGTGCAAAATCGGCCTGCAGACTGGAGGCAACAGAGGGAAATGGACACATATCCCTGTGGAGATGCGTGGGGCTGACTTTGCTGGGGTGAAGTGGACATCATACCATCTAGGGAGGCTGGGCAGGGGCTCACATCAGGCCATTCTCTGCTGCCTTCAGCCAAGCCTCCTGGGCCCATGAGCTCAGCTTCCTCCTGGGAATGTTGAAGAAACTGTCCAGGAAGATGGCGGGTAGGGAGCCAGACCAGGGCTGCTGGCTTTTCAGAAGAGACAGCACTTAGCTTGAACCTTGAAGAATGTGTAGGAGTGTGCTCCACATGAAGATAGTGAAGGGCATTCCAGGGAAAGGGAACAGCATGTGCAGAAGCCGTGAAGCATCAAACCCCGGCTGTGTTCAGAGAGCTGCGGATAGTCAGGGGTGGTGGGGCCTGGATGGCACGGGGGGCGGGGAGTAGCTGCACATGAGCCTGGACTTGAGCCTGTGGGCAGGAAGATGTGCGGCAGGGGACTGGCATGTGTAGGTGTGGGCTTTTGAATGCCCCTGTGGCAGAGATTGTGAGGCTGAATGGGAAGGGGAGCTTCTAGAAGGGGGAGAGAGGCGGGAAGAAGAGCCAGCAGGAGGCAGATGCAGTCTGAACATTTAGCTGTTCCCTCCTCCCTCTCCTCTGTGAGTGGCCCCAGGGTCCTTATGGCCCTGTCTGGCCACCGAGATCTCCTCTCAGGGCAAGGTCTGAGGCTGAACCGAGATGCCCAGCTTCTGGTGGTTGTGGGTCAGGCAGATTGACACGTGTGGCTGGGAGTCCTCTAATAATTGAACATGCTGCTTCAGCTCACGGGGAGGAGGGAAAGCGGCCCCGGGCAGCCCCGGAATAGCCCCTGGAGGTCATGGCCCAGCCACTCACCTGCCACGCTGGAGACTTGGTGTCACCAGGATATGAGTGTTGTTGAACTGAAGTGAGCTCCCTGGCCTCTTTGGAAGCCTTGCTCCTCCGAAAAGGTCCAGAACCACCAGGGACACAGAGCTCCTCAGCTCCGCTGCGTCCAACCTCATGAAGTGCAGTGTTCATAAACATAGCAACTCCATCCCAATTGGGACAAAACGAGATGAAGTCACCTGGCCAAGATCATAGGGCCTGAAGGATGGAGCCGGAGTTCAAACAGGCTGGTTGCATCCAAACACAGGCTGCTTCATATCCCAGCCCCCCACACAGGCACCTCCGCCTGTTTCCAACCCTCATAGACAGACATGCCCCCAAGGTCTCAGGCTGAAGTGACTCCTCTCTCCATCTCCAGTCCCAGATGCCTGGGTGCCCCTGGCTGGCCTTCATCTCATCTGTCCATCCCTGACCGGGGCAGAGAAAGGAACATCCCCCCCTAAAATGGACATACTCAAGGCAAAGACACCCCCAAATCTAGCTCTTTCCTTTTCTCATCTCAGCACATGGCCTTGAACAGGCAGCCCCATGTGGTTCCTACTTGAAAGGACACAGTGACCGGCAAAGCAGGCCATATTGGAATGTGGAATCCTGGAGCCTGGGCAATTTTCAGCCACTTACATATATATCTAATTAACTCCCAGGGTGGTTTGGCAGTCACATCTTTGATCTTTCTACCGAGGGGAACTGTTTGGAAATAATATTTTTAAATCCCTCATTTGCAAACCCAGAGCAGCCACTCTTGCCTGATATTTAAAGATTAACATATGTGAATTTTTTGTTTAATGCAAAATGATTGATGTTTATCAAGCAACCGGAATCTGTCCACAAGCTCTCGCTGGTTAGGAACTACTGTTGACAAGGCCAGAGGAAGCTGGAAGCCTCTTACGTGATTAAATCGTGTTCTTGGGCTACTTTTCTTGCAACAGGTTTTAATCTTTGCAAATTACATGGGTATCCTACCAACTAGAATGATCTGGTGCAGAAGTTGGGCTGAAAGGACCTTTTACTGGTGCATCTCCAATCTCCTTTCCGGTTTCACATTCTGCATTATTTACTCTCCTGAGGGCTGCATTTAAACTCCACAGACACTCAGGCTGAATTAATTTCAAAATAATCCAGCACGATTCTCTCAGGTTCTCCTACAAAGAAGATAGGCATTTGCATATCTTAGTGTTCCATCTCATACCCTGATTTTCTGTTTAACAAATAAAATGCCTTTCTTCTATCCCCTGCAAGCACTTCTGCATTTCTGATGCTTCAGGATGAATCAGGACAGCATTAGATACTGACACTGAGAAACCACATTTGATGAAACATCTCTTGGCAACACTGATGTACAGGGCTCTGATGAGCAATTTTCTGATGATGAACATTCTTTCCTTCAGTTATTCATCAAACATTTATTGAGCATGGGGGTTGGGCAGGAGGGATGCAGATATGAAACAGAGCCAGCCTCTGCCCTGGAGGAGCTCATGAGCATATAAACACGCAATAAAATGCATGACGAGACCAGAAATGAGGGATGTATGATGTTCTGGGACCCTGGGGTGACGGGCTCAAGGATGGCTTCACATTCGAGACTTGTTTGATCTGGATCTTGAAAGTTGTAGGACAGTTCCCAGGTGTAAAAAGGGAGAACATCCCATGTAGAGGCTCAGCCTGGGCAAAGGCAAGAAAAAACAGAGTATGTCTGAAGAATGCAAATCCAGTGTTGTTATGGGTGGAATTTGGAACCTCCAAAGAGGCATGAGAGAGCTCAGACATAAGGGTCAGTTTGGGTGCAGATAGTGGTGATCGGTGAAAGCCAGGCCAACAAGTTGGACTTCACCTTAAAAGCAGAGGGAGGAACCGGAGGAAGTTTTAAGCAGTGGATTGCCACGATGGGGTCTGAACCCCTCTGGTAGCAGAGTTCAGGGTGGATTAGAAAAAAAGAGACATGGAAGCAAGTTAGGGGGCTGTTCCATCATTCCCATGAGAGATGGGGCAGACTCAATCACCATGAGGGCGTGGGTCCAGGCAGCTGGGCGGGAGGGTGGGGGGGGGTGGATTTTGAGAGACACTGCATCAGTCTGTTGGAAGTAGTGATGGATGAAAAGGAGGGAATTGTGAAGGGGTATTATTAACCCAGGACCACTCTAGGCTCTGGGTT